TTTGGGGGTCCCTTCTGCAGCTGCACACAGGTCCCAGCCCCAGCTGTCCTAAACTGGACATGTTGTCCTACGACCTGTGGCCCTGCAGGAACATCCTTCTCAGCAAAACAGCGCAGAGCTGACATTAGTTCCCCACAGGAAGCTCAGCCAAGCTCCCCCTCAGCTTCCCCAACGCCCGACTGCCCGCTCTGGAGGAGTCCTTCGAGGCTGCCGCCACATCTCCTGATCCTGTTCACCTCCCTGTCCTTTCCCTGGGCTGTTTATCTCCAGATCCTTCAGTGCTTGTTGTTGTCTCCATCCTTTGTAGGACAGGCAAAGTGATGCACCAGGCAAGGGCAGAGCTGCGGCCTGTAACCGGCCACCGCTCCTATGCACTGAGCACAGATGGGAAAGAGCCCTTGTGGGAGGAGAATCTTTCACTTGGCTCACCAGAGCATCTCCCCCAGCCCAGCCCTTGCCAGAGAGCAGAGCATCTCCCTGTGCTGCCTCCTCCCCACCCGCAGCACCCTCGTGACACTGGGGGCAGGGACTGGGGTCCAGCTCGCGTGTGACAGTCCCAGCCAGCTGGAACGGCTTCTCATGAACTTGTTCATAAACCCGCTCAAGTGGAAGCCCGAGCTGTTTCCCACGGATGTGAAACCCTGATCTCAGCCCAGGATCACAGCACCCAGGGCAGGGCAGCGGCACCGAGGTGTGCAGGGGACAGAGCACCCTCCCAGCCCCTCAGCCTGCAGACGGCCTCACAAGGATATCCAGGACTGCAGAGAGAGGCTCAGGAGATGGGAGACAGATTGCTCCTCGCACATCAAGGCTAACAGCCCAACAGAAGGCTGTCAGGGAAGATCCCCAAGCAGCTCCAACCACTTCTGATTGGCAGTGGCTGCAAATCTGCTGCCATCGCTGGGGGAGGAGGAGAGCATCCTCGCAAAACATAGGGGGAGCATTTGCTTTCCTTTACAGAAACAAATTTGGAGGCGTAGTGGAAAGTTGCAGGATCTCCCCATTTTTTAGGGCACCGGTCGGGAGCAGGGTGAAGGAATCAAGGACGAGGCACAGACAGGGAAGCAATTCCTTCCTCTGCCTCTGATGTGGCTCTCCCTTGGCTGGACCACTCCTGACACCCATCCCAAAACGCCGTGACAGCCACCAAGACTTGGGGATGCCCAGTACTGCCCTGTGCCCTTCCACACCTGCACGGGCCCCAGGAAGCCTGAAAAACTCAGCTCTGGCCAGGCAGGAGCAGCACATGGTGGAAGGAGAGTCTCTGCAGCACAGGGATGAGCAGTAGGTGGTGGAGGCAGGGCATGGGGACACCTACAACTAGCATGGGACCCCCACAGCCGGCAAACAAGCAACTGTTGGGGCTTTTTGATCTGTGATAATCACCAAAGAAGCAGTAACTGGTGGAGGACTCAGCAGCCTTTGTCTTCCAGGTGATGCTGGCTGCACTCAACCTTGCCGGTCACCCATGGGTAGGAAGTCCTGTCCTGTCCTGTCAGCAGGCAGCAAGAAGCTGTGAAGGCACCGCAGCATCGGCACCCGTGACATGCGCAGCGTGGGGCACGATGCGTGCCACGTGCCCCCCAGGAACCTGCCCGGAGGTGGGGACGGGAGGCAATCCCACCAGCAATGCTGGGGCTGTCCTGGATTTTC